TCCCGCTACCTTCTTCTTCTTCTTCTTTTTTTTTTCTTAACATATATTGCATTATTTGTTTCAGAGGTACAGATCTGTGTTCAACAGTCTCACACAATTCGCAGCGCTCACCATAGCACATACCCTCCCTAGTGTCTTATCACCCAGTCACCCCATCCCTCCCACCCCACCCCCCACTCCAGAATGTTTTTATAATTTCTATATCATTATAGGTAATTATTACTTTATGAAATATCTTAAAATTTTAAATATTATGGGGTACCCCCTGGCGTTACGTATTTAGGCAGTTAAATGTAATATAGAAGGGCTTAGAAAAAATAATTTCTACTTTGGGATTAAGTATATTTCTGCAAGAAATATTTCAAATAAGAATCTGTGTTTTTTCAATGTGTTTTAGCTTCAAGAAAAATTGTATAAAGAAGATAAGGAACAGCGAAAACTAAAGCTTAAGCTGGAACTCCAGGAGAAAGCAACAGAAGCTCACATTGCTGAAAAGACAGCAGGTATAGTAAATGAGTATTAACATATGGTCTTAAGAATCATACACAAGGTTATTATATGATGTGGCTTTGTGAATACTAGCATACTAGCTTATTTGCCAAAGGAGGGGAGGCTCTCTCTTTTTTTTTTTTTTTGGCTTCATAGAAAATAGGTGGCTTTAACATCCTGGTACTGGTATTAGTGAGAGCTTTACCTGTATTCATACTGATTTGGGCATTAAATGCATTGTTAACACCATGTCAATCCAATCACAAAAAGGTTGTTTGTTTTCTTGGAAGGGCCTGAACAAACAAGGGGAAATAATGATTACCAGTGCCTCTACCTTTCAACCAGCAGTTCAAATACCACTTATTGTTTTAGCTGGTTGAGAGGAAATACTTCTCTTCTGTGTGAAGATAGTCATATATTCATTGCCAATGGAAACCTACATTTGATTAAAAAATCTGTTTTGTGCAATTAATAAATTTTCATCTGATGATGTGGATGATGATGGAGATAATATTTTCACTGGGAAGATTAAAATGAAAGGTTGCCAGAGTTTAAGATTATAAATGACTGCCTTAAATATGTTTTGGAGTCTATCTTTACTCACAGGTCTTTGCATGGAGAAATTTTTTTAATGTATCTGTGATATGTTACAGATAAGATCAGATGATTCTCAATAGTCTGTGACTCTCTTCCTCACACTGTTTTATGTTAAGGATAGAAATCTCGTAGTATAATAGAAATTAACATGCAGAGGCATTTTAAAGGTTACTTATTCTAACGTTTTTGTATCAGTTGGAATGATTTTAAGAAAAAATTGTATTTTGTGATTAGTTTGAAGTTATAATCATATTTTATGAGCTACATTAGGCTGGTTGCATATGTGGAAGAATTCTGGTATTTTGGGTCGGACACATTCACTGGTATAGCCTGTCTATGCGAAATAGAACTAAACATCACTATGAAAATAAAACCAAAATTACCATAAATAAATACTCCAGCTAAAATAACAAATTGTTGCTTTTCTGTTAATGTTAAACTACCATGAATTTTTTGTTTCTTATTTAGTGGAGAAATATGAGGCTAATATATTTTAAGGAAAATTAACAGTATATTTAAAATGAATAATTCAGATATAAATTTGGAACAATTTGGAAGTGTCTTGGTTTTTTATAATCAAATATGTATATACTAATTGCTAGGAAGGTATTAAAAGAAGTACATTTGTTTGAAGGAGTTTGCATCATAATATGACTGCATGTGCCTTACAGGAGTAATTTGGCAAAATTTAGGCCATTTAGGACATTTCACTGATGAAAAGCATGAATTGATATGTCTGCATAGATGATTTATGTCTTGGAGGGGAAAAGTCATTAAGCAGTATTATCTACTCTTAAAACTTTTGTATGATATAGCTAATCATCTACTTCAAATATTTACTTATTTGTATATATTTAAGACTTCCCTTTGAATAAATAGTATGAATCATGCATGCATAAATTGGAAAGAATTTGATTGCCTTATGATTATTGTTAATCAGATATTTCTTATTAATGATACAATATTATTTTAGTAAATGTTTGAAAAATGTTTAGTATTTTTTGGTAGCCTCCTAAATTGATAAAAATAGCAGTGCTATATAGTTTCTCTGGAACAAAGCAATCGAGTTAAAAGAGATACATCCAACCATTTAGTTACAAAAATGACAAAAATGAAAATCCTCTAAAGTTATTTAAAGTATAAATTTTCAATGTGTATCTTTTTAATGTTTCAGTCCTACTAAAAAAGATTAAAGATATTTTACTTGTGACATTAGAATCATCATCGTAATATGTCAAAATTTTTTTAAAAAACTGAATTGCTTAAGAAATCCATTGGTTTGCAACTATAAGAAATTCATTAAGTGATTCTTGATAGACTCATCATTTTTTCATATTTTCTCACACATATAGTCTTAAATAGCTTATTTTCTACCCAACTGGTAGTAAGTGTAGTCAAAAAGCAAAACATAGTAACAAAAACAACTATGTCAGTACCTTAATAGAAAGAGGAACATTATAGGAATATGATTACATGTGAAAAATATTTTCTTTAGTATCATATGGAAGGATAATAATCCATAAAATGAGAACAAAAAAAAATCCACATAAATATTGATGTTTGTTTCTTTCATTGCTTATTTTCATATTCAAAATAAAAAGTGTACTTGGTTAAGTATATTATAAATATGTACACACATTTATGTATTATGATGTACTTAAGCGGAAAATAAATGTTTAAAAATATCAAGATATCCCACCATTAGAAGAAATACATGCAAAAAATCTCTAACCATTGGAAATTGCAAATAAGATACAAAAATGTATGTTTATAGATTTTTCAAATAAAATGTTAATTAAAATACGAGGTCCTCAAAGGAAATAGGAGCCATTTCCTTGCAATATATGATACAAAGATTTATATGTAAGAATATTAATATCAGGGGCGCCTGGGTGGCTCAGTTGGTTAAGCGACTGCCTCCGGCTCAGGTCATGATCCTGGAGTCCCGGGATCGAGTCCCGCATCGGGCTCCCTGCTCGACAGGGAGCCTGCTTCTC